ACAGATTCAGTGAAATTTTTTAAAATATTTTTTTCAACTAAAATACTAGTATACTTATAAGAAACTGCTTAATTAATTCACAAACTTTTAATGGTAGTACGTTTAAGGTTAACATTAAGAAAGGTAGTTACAAAAAGTTATATAAGCATTTGAGATAATTTGTCAAAGACATTAAAACAATATCAAATATGTTGATAAACTAGACTTACAGAGCTCGGTTTTAAAGACCCATGGTTTTTGTTTCTTTGGTAATTGGCCAGCATACTGGTATGCCATTTGAGGACCTTTTGTTTAGAGTCTCTGTCCAAGCTTTCGACATCAAAGTATTTGAGGTCAGGTACTGGACCTTCATAGTTGTAATTGGCGGGTTTATTAAACAAATGAGGAAATGTGCCTTTCTTGTCCCCGAGATTAAAAGTCTTTGTAAATTTACGGAGCGGTATTTGACAGTAATTTAAACTGTCCTTAAACTGTACCCCCGATTGCTCATCTTTGAGATACATGATTTTGCCCCCTTGCTTCGTCACAATAGGGGGTTGTCTGTCATTCATGTAGGGCAGTTTGTTAGTGTGTATCCAATTAAGTATAAGTTGTCCATCATAACCTGATAGTATAAAAACAGTGCATAAACAAAATGAAACTTCTTAATGGTTACCACCTTGTGATATTATGATCAGATAAAGTATATTATCACGTACAAGTTAATTAAGAATATGTTACACAAGAGTATAATACCTTTAAAATTATGAGCTATACATATATATAGCCGGCATTTGAAGGTGCAAGTACCCACGTACAGAACTCATCTAAACAGGTCTCGCCAAAGAACTCCATTTCATGTGTACCGCATTGCTCACAGTCCACATGGTCTCTGTCCACAGGTATATCCTGGCAATGGTTATATATTTTCTGAGCTATGATGAGATTAGGCACATGCAGTCTATTGAAATTATCTTGAACTGATTCAATGTCAAAAAGACATAGCCTCTATGCTTTGTATTAAGAGTTGCGTTTTCTGAGTCCTGATTATCCTCGAGGCTTGCTTCATCGATCAAATCCTGAGTAGGGTCAACATCATTCTCTAAAAACAAAAATATCATAAACTAGTTTAGTCAAAACACAAATACGTTAACATATCTTCATAGTAATTGATATTTGGGTCTAATTAAGAAACTTTGTATAATGGGATTTGTATTATCTGTTAATAAAATGTTTAGGTAAATATATAGCATACCTCTGTTTTCTTGTTTCTTGAAGTATTGTTCGGCTTGTTTTTTAAGGGCATAGTCAACCTGCACAGAACATCTATGATCTTCCATAACCCGTTTCTGACAATATGGACAGACCAGGTCGTAACATTCGTGTTCATGTATACTTTTATCACCAGAGACAGGGTCCAAGACAGAGTGTGTTCTCTTATCTACGCGTCGACATTTTGACAATAGAATTTGACAGCACAGGCTGATGTGTCGGATTTGAATGACTTTTTTACGTGGTTGAGCAGACACAGTTCACATATATCATACACCACAGCCCGATACATATTTACTTTTAGTTGGTCTCGCTGCTAGCTTGCCCTTGTAACTAGCTGTGAACTTCCAAGCAGCTTATGTTTACTGCTAACTGATAAACTCTCATACTAGCGTAAGCTATCTTATGTGTATCATATTCCTTGCAGTATAAACATGACTGCTTTACGTGAGTGACTATTTGTGAAAATCTTGGTAGGTGTTATCAATTAGCTAATTAAATTAAATCTGGTGAACAAAATTTATTCTAACTAACTGAAATCAATTGACAATTAATTGATCTTTAAAACCATGTTTTTCTTTTCCAATGGTACAATCCCTATCCATGTTTAAAACACATTTATTTTAGCAAGGGTTCAAAAAAGTGTATCTTTGGTAAAAACTAGTGGTTTGTAAGTACAGTGCATCAATATGAAAGACTGAAACATGTAATATTTCTGTGCTATCTACTTTAATAGTACAAAATTTCAAACCATACCATGTAAGGATCAATATTGGTGCTAAATATATGAATCATGTTTTGTAGTTTTATAAATTCAATACTCACAGAATGTAAAGTAAGAACTACCAGCAAGATGGTCAATCATGCTCGCAGGCCCGGGCAATCAAGATCCCCAGATATAAATATTTTACATAATGGTTCTATACCTAGAAATAATACGGTTTCAATGTTTTCCTTGTTCACTTGTTCATAATATAATGATCATTATTGTTCAGGTTGAAGGTTTTTATCAATAAATTTCCATTTCTCTGTTCTGACCCTGGTAATGATTTGGCAATACTGCAGTTTCTTTGAAATATTACTTGAGCTTTAGTTCCTGATTTTTCTTGTTTCTATTTCAATACTTTTGATGCACATAATCTGCATATATTTGAAAGTGCCATTTTGTGATTACTTTGATCCATAGCCATAGCTGCGTGTTTACACTCTTAATGTACTTTACAGGAATTAGTAAGAATGTATGGGGTGGTGTGCAGAAATGTTGATTTCTTGACAAATTAGATGGTACCTAAGAAATTTTCTGGTATATCCTTGTAGGAAATTGACAGCTCTATACAACTAGCTACTTAATTAAGAAAAGTGTACACCTATTTTTGAGATTTTAACAGGAAAGTAAGGAGTGTGTATAACAATTCTGGGAACATAAATCTTCATTGTTGAGATAAGAGACCTTAATTCAAGACATTTTCAATAAACTATGCTGAAATTTGATGCAAAAAAGTATTGCAAGGGTTACTTCTACTCTATATACAAAAACTAAAGTGATTCTAATGGCAAGGGTAGCTAAAAGAAGGAAAACAGAGAAAGCGTAAGTTCTGCAGATGAGACATTTGTTGCTTGGCAAGTTGATCACTGCGCATGCTCAGCATCCAGCAGTAGCTGTAGCAGAGATTTAAGGTCACAGTGACTTGCTCTAACTAAAAGTTCATATAGCAGCATTCTATCGGGCTGTGACACCCCTGTCAATCAGAAATACTCTGTTCAGATTGGCTGAAAACGGACACACTTTGCCTAGCTATGTGTGAATGTGTGATATTACATCTTTCTTAGTGCCCTGTCATTTGTTTAAAATCATTGAGCAGTAAATGATTTATTGTCATCAGTAAATCACTGTAGACAAAGAAAATACAGTAAAGCAGATGTTGTATTTATCACATTTTAAATGATACTCGAACATGACTGTATTCACACCCTCTATAAACTGTGAACAAATTTAAAAAAATGAAACTACTTACTGGCTTCTTGCTAGTTGAAGGTTCTGGGTCAAGATTTACTTGCGCACTGTCACTGTACGGTTGGGGAGGGCTTGTTTGGGGATGGTTGTGCAAATCAGCATTGTCAATATCCTGAAATAGACTTTCACTAGTTACTTCACAATAAAAAATATTAATAAATTCATGTTCACTGCATAATTTGTATTGACCAACAAAGTAGACTTGTCGTTAAGTTCAGGTAACATGCGTTTTGCACGCCCTTTTTGAAAAGATTCATATTTTAACGCGCCAGTAAGAGCATCATTCAAAGTCTTTGGATTAGTTGATTGGACATGCCATTCTAGATCTTTATCATTCAGAGCATTAATGAATGAAGTCATAGAAAAATATTCCAAAGTTTCCCTTGGAATTCCCTGAAATGCCTCCCGTGATAACTTTCTAACTTCCTGTGCCAATTCTTCAAGAGTTTCTTTCCCACTCTCAATTTATTCTTTAATTTAGCCCTTGAAGTTTCATTCTGTTCTGGTGGTTCAAAGCGATATTTTAGTGCAGCGATCAAAACCCCATAATTGAAACGGTCCTCCAGACTGAGATCAGTTAATACAGCCAGTGCAGTCCCCTGCAATTGTCCCACAAGCAATGCCTTTGCTCGATCATCCCAATCATTTTCATATGCAATAGTCTCAAATTGGGCCAGATAGTCACTAAGGCTACCTTTCCCATCATATTTATTACATTTAGGAGATTTATGAGTGCTATTAAATGTTAAAGGAGTCGACGCCCTGCGACAGTTTTTTGATTATTTGAAATGAAGTCAAATAGCCTATGTAATAGTTTACTGCTTGAGACTCCAGTATATCTTTTGATACTTTTATCATTTCTCTGGACTTTTTCAAGAGAAAGGTCCCTCCTTAGTTGATTTTTGTCATGCAATTTCTCATAAGCAATACACATCTCATCAAAGCATATTGAATCACAGTCTGTCTGTGTCGCAATTTCATTTGTTGCTCCCTCGATATGTATATTTGTGCTGTCTAATACACAAAGTTGTGTTCCCTGCTAAGTACTTTGTAAACGTCAAAAATGGCTCCACAGTTAGCCTCCACAGTTAGCCATAGCCTTAACAGTTTTTGATGATTGTTCCACTATCTCTTCATTTGCCCCAATAGGTATCTGGTCACCTCATTTTATTACTTCCTTTGGGGTCATCAGGGGATGTCACTGGTTTCACCCTTTCAGGCAGCTTGCCAATGGATTCTAGCCCAAATCACTTTATGTACAAATACAGTTTTGTATACATCCCTCATATCACACGACGGAGCAAATATTGTTAAAATGTTTAAAAGATAATGTTTAAAAAGTAAAACTGCAAAGCCTTATTATGATTCTTTAAATGACCATTTTTCATTCTGGTGGCGCCTGTGCCCAGATAGCTTACAGTACCTATAAATACTGTTGAATAAGCTTCAAAATAGTGTTTGAAAATAATGCAAGTAAAACTACAGTGCTGTAATATGATACTTTAAATGATCATTTTATTACTGCTGGCGCCTGCGCCCTATTACATGCCTATAAATTCTGTTAAATAAACTTCATGTTTGAAATAGTGTGAGTAAAACTGCAGTGCTATAGCATATTTTAAATGAACATTCTTCATTCTGGTTGTGCCTGTGTTCAGTTGATACTGCCTTTAAAATGATATTGTAAAATAATGCAAGTAAAATCGCAGTACTGTAATATGTTTATTATGCTTGCAGGTGGGAAGGATGAGCTGAAATACAAGTATGCCCTTGTGGAGCTGTTCAGTGCTGACTGTCTGCCTTTCTTCATCAATGTTCTACAGGTAGGTTCCTAGGGGTAGGTCTTTATGTATTTTTTGTATATTAATTAATTGAAGTCTAAAGTCAAAATGTTAAATTTTATTGTAATGCAGATGCAGTATAATTCAAAATTGTTTGGCCTGGCTGGTCTCGACCTATGAGAGACTAATAAGTCTTAAAGTAGTTAAACTTGGCCTTACTAAAGTGTGTTTAATGTATTTATAGAGACTAAGTGAGAGCCACATTAGGGGATGGCAGCAAGGTGTACCACTGAGTCAACTCCAGGCTACATTATTTATAGCCACTGTTAAACCAGCACTTGCTCTAACAAAAGCTATCCTTAGCTATCTCATAATGGCTAGAGGATCAGAAGTGAGTATTACAATAACTGTAAATAAACACTATACTGTAGAATATTCACCTTTTTTAATCTGTGAAATTTTGAAAATTGATGAATGTTTACTTCAGCTATTCAAAAACTATATAGAGAGATACAGAATAGATCTCCATATCAAATGTGTTCATTCACTTTTTCAGTTTCAAGACCTAACTAGTTTGCCTGCCTTGTTCAATCTCCATACAGTAGCCTGCTCTGTGCCTTTATCAGGCATCTCCCCAGATGACATACAGTCTGTAAGTACTACACCTACAATTAACTATTTACAGTAAAACCTGTCTTATGGAATATCTTTGGTCCCTTCTAAAAAGTGTTCCACTTGGGAGGTGATCATTTCACAGGGGTTCATTTAACATTAAATCAGTTGGTCTCTGGACTCTGTAATGTGTTCCACTAACAGAGGTGTTTCACTTGTAGAGGTGTTTCACTTGTAGAGGTGTTCCACTTTGCAGGTTTCACTGTAGAGGTGTTCCATTTTGCAGGTTTCACTGTAGAGGTGTTCCATTTTGCAGGTTTCACTGTAGAGGTGTTCCATTTTGCAGGTTTCACTATAGAGGTGTTCCACTTTGCAGGTTTCACTATATATGTAAATGGTTTAAGACCCACATAGTGAAACTTATCCACCTTCCATCTGTTGAACTGTAAAAACTGCTCGTATTCTATTAGTATAGTAGGAACAAGGGGTTCCCATGCACCCATAAGGTGTGAATAAGTCACATACATTTTTGTAATCCATAGGGTGTCTATTTAATGAATTCATTTGTTAACATTGCCAACTAATGTCCCAAAGTACTTTTATGGCGGCATTCAGTTACCATGGTTACGCATCTTTAGACATCTTACCTTGGTATCTTAAATCATTTGTAGCTCTGTCATTATTTGGTCTATAGAAATGATATTGGTACCAAATTGAACCTCGTTAAATTTTCAATAAATTTCTGATATTCAATTATGCAAATTATCTAATTTGCATAAATTATGACGTCATCAATCTATTTTTGGTTCAGAATTTCCAACTATAGCAACGTATCTATTAGAACTGATACCGTATGGCAAAATTTCTGAAAGGTTTTGTCCTTTATTCTATTAGAAGAAGGTATAAGCAACATAAAAGTGAAAACAGATTCAAAATTGAATCAGTATTACGAAAGTTATGTAACTTTCGAGGCAGCTATCGTGAATGTCATTATTTGACAATAATATACATACATCTTACCTTGGAGTCTTGAATCAATGTAGCTTCGCCATTATTTGGTCTATAGAGATGATATTGGTATCTAATTAAACCTTATTAAATTTACTATATGGTTACAATATTCAAGTATGCAAATTAGCTAATTTGCATTAATTGTGACGTCATCAATCCATTTTTGGTTCAGAATATCCTAGTATAGCAACATATCTATTAGAACTGAGGCCGTATGACAGAATGTGTGCATAGTTTTGTCCCTTATTTGATGAGTGGAAGATATAAGCAACATTAAAGAGACAACAAATCTTCAAAATTGGATCAGAATTAACAAAATTATCCAGCTTTGGAGGCAGCTACTGTGAACGTCATTGTTTGACAATTATAAAAAGAATATTAAATTAACAAAAAAAGTAACAACCGTAGTTGTTTCAATCTTATTGAGTAGAAATGTGCATGTATTGAACTGAATTAATAAGTATGTGGAAAGCTTACATGTATTTTGACTATCATTCACAGGGGTCAAAACGGTTATCACGACCCTGTATATTAAAGATCCAATTTTATAATTTACCATGCACTTTCAATGATTCATATAAATAGTATACATATAGTCTGATTTTCATCATATTCTTCATATTCTTGATTCTTAAAGTATCTAAAGTATAAAGCATGATTAGAAGTGAAGATGATTCATCATATGGTTTATGTAATATTTCTAACATTTCAGATGCTATGGTAACATCACTTGATAATGAGGTTTTTACATTTCACGTTCTTAATGAGTTAGAAGAAAGTTATTCTCCCTTTGCTTTAGAGATAAATAGTCACATGCGTAACCATGGTAACTGAATGCCGCCATAAAAGTACTATGGGACATTAGTTGGCAATGTTAACAAATGAATTCATTAAATAGACACCCTATGGATTACAAAAATGTATGTAACTTATTCACACCTTATGGGTGCATGGGAACCCCTTGTTCCTACTATACTATATATTCCATTCTATTCTAACATGCTTTGGAATATTACATCATTGGTACTTTTTTCAAATATTTACTCCTCCATTTTTCACAATATTATAAAGATGATGCTGTTTTCATAGGAGAAATGTCTGCAATGCCATCTGTATTTTTTGTATAAGTATGTGTCATGATCATTCAGACATTTTATTTTCAGATCCAGAATGACATCATAGATCTTCTGATGGCTTTTACCCAACCAGCTCTCAAAGCAGAGGAGACAGAAGAAGGTAAATTATATATTGCAGCATTATATGTGATATCTGATATGTCTTATGAGTAATTCTTACATATAATGAAAAAAACATGGTTACACCATTTTTATTAAAACTAATTGAATAAAGAAGTTTACAAGATTTTACTAAAAAAGAACAATGCTGTGAAACTGCCAAAGAAGATGGAAGATAAGTGGCAAAACAAACTGCAACTACAAAATCCATTGATGTGGGCCAAAATCCACAAAAATAGAAAAAATATTCTCAGGACAAAAGAGAAATATTTCCAAATAAAAATATTCTTCCGGATACTATACTATAACAAACAACTAAAACAAATGAACATAGACGGCTATAACACTGATATATGCAGTCTATGCCGTAGTGACATAGATACTTTAGAACATGGAATATACCATTGTGAGGCCGTACAAGACTTCCTAATAACATCTTTCAACCAACTTGACGAAGATGTACCCACAATTGAGAAATTCCTTTTCGGAGATGGAAAAACAGAAAACGAACATCTATTCCTGAAACAAAAGATATTCCTAAACACATGTAAAAGGAAAATAAGGAGACCTAATATGATAGGCTGGCAAAACTTCCTAAAAACAGAGAAAAAAATAGAAGAAAGCATCAGCCAAAGAAGAAAAAAACCTGAACTTATGGAACAGCAATGGTTGAAACTCAAACATTTCATAACGTAGTAAAATACACACTGGGAACATAAAAACCCCCTCACCAAGCTCAAACCATCGAGCAGAAAATCACAAAAGTCCCCCTCTTGCCTTTTCCCCTGCCCCCCCCCCTTCCCTTCCTCTTTTTATCAAAACTAATATGCTAAATAAGGCTAATATTATATATAAATACGATATTATAGCATATGAAACTACTGTATGTTTTCTTTCTACAATATTGTATTTTGTACAACTTTTTATAACAGAATAAAAAAAAAAAAAAAAAAAAAAAATAATTGAATGCCCTTTATATAAATTGTTTCCGATTTCAGCATTGTCTAACAGTCTATGGACCATGACAATGGCAGAGGTGATGAAGTACACATTGACCGCTCCCTATACCTTTCTCAGTGTTTATCAGTCCTTATATATATTCATATTGTATACTATTTCAGCATTGTCTAACAGTCTATGGACAATGACAATGGCAGAGGTGATGAAGTACACATTGACTGCTCCCTATAACATTCCTCAGTGTTTATCAGTCCTTATATATATTCATATTGTATACTATTTCAGCATTGTCTAACAGTCTATGGACAATGACAATGGCAGAGGTGATGAAGTACACATTGACTGCTCCCTATACATTCCTCAGTGTTTATCAGTCCTTATATATATTCATATTGTATACTATTTCAGCATTGTCTAACAGTCTATGGACAATGACAATGGCAGAGGTGATGAAGTACACATTGACTGCTCCCTATACATTCCTCAGTGTTTATCAGTCCTTATTGAATGCCCTGTAGTATAAATTCATGTTGTTTACTATTTCAGCATTGTCTAACAGTCTATGGACAATGACAATGGCAGAGGTGATGAAGTACACATTGACTGCTCCCTATACCTTCCTCAGTGTTTATCAGTCCTTATTGAATGCCCTGTAGTATATATTCATGTTGTATACTATTTCAGCATTGTCTAACAGTCTATGGACCATGACAATGGCAGATGTGATGAAGTACACATTGACTGCTCCCTATACCTTCCTCAGTGTTTATCAGTCCTTATTGAATGCCCTGTAGTATATATTCATGTTGTTTACTATTTCAGCATTGTCTAACAGTCTATGGACCATGACAATGGCAGAGGTGATGAAGTACACATTGACTGCTCCCTATACATTCCTCAGTGTTTATCAGGCCTTATTGAATGCCATGTAGTATATATTCATGTTGTTTACCATTTCAGCATTGTCTAACAGTCTATGGACAATGACAATGGCAGAGGTGATGAAGTACACATTGACTGCTCCCTATACATTCCTCAGTGGATGTATGATGATAACTGAGTTGCTTCCACTAAGTCTCCCCATTCAAACCAAAGAGGTAAAAAGGCATTAACTGCCAATGTTGCACATTATGTTGTTCCAATAAATAACCCATAAAACTAATAACAATGCATAAGCATAACAGAGTGTCACACTTAAAGAAGTGTAACAAGTGTTACAGTCATACTCATAAATGTCAAAACCTGAAATCTGGTCATAAATATCATGTTCTTCACAATTTCTCGGTAGAAACAACAGTGAAATCTTAAAATCGTAGGAAACTGCATACAGGAAAATAAATGTATAAATCAGAGAATGGTCCACAGAATTTAAATATGTTATCAAATTGGAAAGGTTTATCATAGATACTAGTATTCCGTAATTCCGCGGCGTGGACGGAATTTGACAAAACTTCAATTTTTTGCAGAATCCCTGATTTTCATGAAAATCCCGCGGAATTACCAGAATTTCCAGAAATTACATATTTTACGATCTCCTACCTTTGCGGGGTATTTGATATATTTTATGTCCAACAATCAATCTTTATTGAGTACAAGTACGATTTCACCGTGAAATTCAACATTCTATCACGTTTAGATTCGCTAAAGCGAGTTCGCTAATGACGCGCAGTTCTTACCTAGAAAGTAGCTGACTTCCGTTTCCGTTTTAAAAGATTGCAGAATTTGGACTTTTTTTGAAAATTTGTGCAGAATTTTGATTTTTTTCATGCAGAAAACTAGTATCTGTGGTTTATACGAATACCATCAAAAATAAGATTCCAAAGTTATATATATAGCAAAGCCTTTATTGAAATAAACAAACATATGTTTCAGCCTTTGGACGATGAAGAAGTGAATATTGGTCTGAACATGCGTAAACTATGGAGTGCTCATCTACATCCACTTATACCAAACATACAGGATATCATACGCACACTTGCTGGTGAGTAACAATGTAACATACATATTTAGGATATCATACGCACACTTGCTGGTGAGTAACAATGTAACATACATGTTTAGGATATCATACGCACACTTGCTGGTGAGTAACAATGTAACATACATATTTAGGATATCATACGCACACTTGCTGGGGAGTAACAATGTAACATACATGTTTAGGATGTCATACGCACACTTGCTGGTGAGTAACAATGTAACATACATGTTTAGGATGTCATACGCACACTTGCTGGTGAGTAACAATGTAACATACCTGTTTAGGATATCATACATACACTTGCTGGTGAGTAACATGTTACAAACATGTTAAGTGCAAAGTTTCAGTGAGATTTCTAATAACCGGAGGGTAAAGGTCTCCTCACATATAAATGAAAACCCCCACGTCAACTTGCATGTACTGGCGAATAGGACTTTGGGTAAAATTATCTCCATAGTATTTGTAAGTTGTACATTGTTAGGGTGTTCATATGCGGAACTAACCTTTCTGATAGCTTCGGATGGCTTCGGAATCATGTGCAAAGTAGGGTTTTCATTCACATGTTTATGTTCCCAATAGCAATTTACCCAATGCGCAAGACTGCGTTTAGTGAATTCGTTCATATGTGAGGACTGAGGAGGCCTTAAGGTAGATAATTTTAAAACTTCAAAGAGTGGGTGGAGCAAGCACTTGCACTTGCACAGTCCAATAGACCTATAATGTTAGTTACTTCCGAGTACTTAATAAGTAAATTGATGGTAGTAAATTGAAGCTTCCAAGTTGTCATCTTGTAGCAATACCTTCAATGTAGTAATTTATTTCCATGAAACAACCTAATAGTACTGTAGTAACATTACTTAATTAAATTCGTAGTAGCGGTTAATGAAAATGTAGAACAATATCCCATGTTAAGGACTGATGAAATGGCCTCATTACTTCAATGCATGTAATAACCTGAAGCAGTATCTTTAATGCAATGCATCTGTGTGTATCTCTAGCTGCCAGCTGCCACCAGCTACAATATGTTCTAAGGAGGGTTTGTTGGCAAATAGCAGACTTGGGATTATCATCAGCCCAAGTGGTGGTCAGGTATGTACCCAAGTGTCAGGGGAGGATTTTTATATTACCACCAGAAGTGGTGACATATTGTTAAAGTCTCCAACCTTTTTTTGTGGATGGTGGTGTTTCAAATGGCAGGTGGTAACATACAAGGTATAGGAGCTACCGAAAAGTTCCCCAAGTATTTAAGATATAAACTTTCTTATTCTTCTAGAAATTTTGCTATATTGATTAGAATAAACATTAATTAATTAATGTTCAAACTTTAGGTGTATGTTGGATCTTCTCTTGGAGACATTGGCTGAAAGTAAGGAGAATCTCTACCCACCTCCCCCAGAGAATCCTCTCCCTGTGGGAATAGAGAATCCACTGCCTGTCCCTGAGAGGCCACCCTTGGATACAATCCCGGACACCGAGGCTTCGGGTCAGACTGCACGAGTTTTATGCCTCATCTCATATTCTATGAACCAGCCTCCAATCAAAATACCAATTCTATCATTGATGAAGAGCACGTAAGTCTTCTTTGGGTTTGGGCTGTCTTGTAGTAATAAATGTGTTCTATGAAGAGGAGGGGAAACCTCAGGTCTTAGAGACACTCATAATTTGTTTATCTTGATGTGAAATAAAAGGCTTTAATATTGGTAAAAACACCAGAAATTATCATAATATATGCAGAATAATTCTGTTTTATGATTTATGGCGTAATATATGACCGAAGATTTTATACTGTTCATTGTTAAAAGATAGAGATCGCGTTGCGATTGAGGTCTTTGACATAAACAATAAAATCGAGGTTTTTGTTACGATTCTAATATGATAAACAGATAAGAAACAAAACTATTTGCATTTATGTGTTTTAGTGGTCATACATACTCAATATATACCAGCATATCAATTGTTCAAGCTATTGTGATGTCTCGTATCATATTAGAATTATTTTTCAAAGTATTTTGTGAAAATTTCGAATTCGA